AAGAAGTCCGGTGCGTGGCGTCCGATCATAGATCTCAGTGCCTTCAACAGGCACGTAGATTCTCCACACTTCAAGATGGAGACCCCACGGGGTCATTATGGCCTCTGTGAGGGACGGAATGTGAAGTAAATCTGAATGATGCCTACTTCCATATCCCCATCAAGAAGTCGGCTGTGCCTCCTCGTTAGCTCCAGGGCATGTCTTTCCGTACGGCGGCACGTGGGTACACCTGCTCTTACATGGAAAGGTCCCTTCCTACTCTTTGGCACTCTGTTCTTCATCCCTACTACTTTTGCTGTGTAGTCACCACTACGATAAGATGAATTCGCATACTAAAATTATGGTAATCATTACTGAAATGAAATTGAGGTTTTTTCATATAAAGCAAATTTTCATGACGTAATACTTACCATAACTTTATGGAGTCCCATCCTAACCTCCCCTCATCCTTATCGGCTTGGCTGCCCCTCTGTGGGGTGCTCCATTAAGGTTATTAGAGGAAGGGAGATCACTCTATGTTAATGCTGTGATGGCTCATGAATCGTAGGGAGAGCGGGATTATTTGAATCGTTTGTTGTTTGGATACAAAGATGGGTGTAGGTACCGTATTTGCATACTAAAGTTATAGTAAGTATTACCACATTAAAATTGGTTTTACATGAAAAAACCTCAAATGTATGCATAACTCCATTCTTGGTAACACCCTTCGTGCTAAAACCATCGTTGACATTACATGTGTTGCCTTCCATGTTGACATTTTCTTTGCTATGTCCATCTATTGTGCTTGGTCTTTCAATTAGCATAACTGGTAAAAAGTGGTTAATGATACAAAATGCAGAAGTAATGTCTTGCCGTGTTGTTCCCCACGGTATGATTGCAGTCTCTTTCTGTTTCTTTGTCTTGGCTGCACAAGCCTGTGTAGGTCAACTCTTACCAGTTGGTACCTAGGTTTGGATACAAAGAAACAATTGGCATTTTCAAAACAGACGCCAATGCAAATATTTGCAATATTTTCTTGAATGATTTTGATTTCAGGATTTTGTGTACCTAATTTCCATAGACGTGTACCTATTCACACACACACATACACACACAAGCAGCATCACAGTATCAAATTCAAGGTAAACATGGTCAGCTTCCAATGATTTAATTTTAAAAGGCGGCACTGAAAGTTGGTTAAAGTTAAGCTTTAGATGATGCAGAAGAATTTAATTTTAAAATGCTTCACTGACAGTTAACTACAGTTAAGCTTTAGATAATGCAGAAGTATTTCATTAGCATAGACTGCACGAACAGTTAACTAAACATAAGCTTTAGATAATGCAGAAGTATTTAATTATAAAACGGCTGCACTAACAGTTTTCTAAAGTTTAGTTTTGTACAAATTCTTAAAAAGAATGTAAGAATGTTTGATAAACAACAATTATTACTATAGTTCTTTTTTTAAATTCTAACATTTTTTTTATACTTAATGCTTTTTAAGTCATTTAACCCGAAAGGTCAGGATGACCAATAACCATCTTGTTTCGTCCGTCGCCCAGCGGCATCAGCTGTGTGCCGCGCCTTAACTTTCCATTTCAATGATTTCGTCAATAATCAAAAGACACCCATGGTGTATAATCCTAGGATAAAGGGTTACAATGTTTTGTAATACGAATGACTTTGACCTACTTTCAAGGTTACAGTGTCCAAATGTGTTTAATATTTAAGCGACGTCTCAATTATCATGGTCAATGGTGATATTATTGATTCTGTAGCATGAAGGGATAAAGTGCTATCAAGAGTAATAAAACGAATGACCGTGACCTATTTTCAAGGTCAAAGTGATAAAGTTTGTTGAAATATCTAAATGTCATAATAACAACAAATTTCCTGGGTACTGATATTGGTCATGTAGCTTGACGGCACAAAGGGCTAACACGTGTGTCCTTATAATTGACTCTGATCCACTTTCACGATCACATGTGTTAAAGACTTCTCAATAACCAAAATGCCCAGGGTGCCTAGATTAGGTTTGTGGCCAGCAAGGATGAAGGACTATCAAGTTTGTTCATACTACCCACATTCGGAGCCACAAGTATCTCATATTTGTTAAAGATATTTAAGCAACCTCTCAGTCACCATAAGGTTCCATGGTGCTGATGTTGGGCCCTGCTGCATGCTGTTATAAAGGGCTACCAATTTTGATCAAATGAGTAACCCTGACCAATTTTAAAGGTCACACAAATGTGTAAAATCTTTAAATGACTTCTCAATAAGAAAAAGACCCAGAGTGATGATAATCGGCCCATAGCACGCTGGGGTCAAGGGCTACCCAGTTTGATAATATTATTGACCTTTACATTTTTCAAGGTCACATGTGTCACATATGCTTAATACTTTTTAATAACAAAAGGTCCAGACTGTTTATTGGTTCTTTAATATAAGTGGATGAAGGGCTATTGAATTGTTCAAATAATTCTCAATAACCTATATTGAAGATCTCTTGTGTTAAATGAATTGAGATCTTATAAATTTTCTTTTCCAACAACGATAGGTTCGGAGTTATGACATTTGTGTGGTAGTAAGTATAAAGAATTTGAATTCAAGTCTACAGAAAATGTTTTTATGAAACAACAATGTCCTATTTGTAAGCTGTAGAGTATTTGGGCAATTTATTTAAGGCCTATTTGGCCTATTTCATATATCGATGACCGTTCAAGCCTGTGAGCATCTTGTTTATCTAAAAAGTGATTGTGCACTCCGAGGGATCATGTGAAATGCTAATGAAGACAGCAATTTCAAGAGACTAGTTATATTGTAATTCTCTGAGGCAGCTAGTTTATAAGGTGACTGTTATTTCATTTAAATTAAATGATAAAACAGTATCTTAGTTCTCGTTTAAGTGTATCATTAGACTTACATTCAAATGTATATCATTTATTGCCGCATTTACATGAGCTCTAGATGTGAACTGATGACCGGGGAAGGCCAGGATTTTATAAAACTTCTTTCCAGTCTTAGTTCCTGAGCTCAGGCAAATGTATAGCTAAGATTATCATGATTAATCTCCCAAGGAATTGTTAGTATTCAAATAAAGAACTTTATTTCAACTACATTAAAACTAAGAACCGATAACGGTTTTAATGTACCTGTCTGTACATACAATTACCATATTATTATTGGAATACATGTAGTAATGACAACTCGTGCATTTTTGAGTAAACAAACATTTGCTCGGTTGCTCCTGATATCCTGTCTGTTGTATTGGATTGTTCACATGACATATCACAGGAACTGTTGCTCCAGATATCCTGTCTGTTGTATAAGGCGTTTTGCCTGAAAATTTAAGTGGAAATACTGCTCCTGATATGTTGTATTGGACAATTTGTATAACAAATTGGACAATTTGTATAACATATAACAAGTTTCTCCAGATGTCCTGTTTGTTGTGATGGACATTTTGCCTGACAGGAACAGTTGCTCTTGATATTGGTAATGGAGATTTATCTAACATTAAGAGGATCGGTTGCTCCGGAGATCCTGCTTTCATAACATATAACAGGATCGATCGCTTGACAACATCTTTGTTGAGTTTGGTGGTGAGATCTTCCAACAGACTATTGACATATCTATGGGAACCAACGGCGCCACTCTGTTGGTTGACTTGTTTCTGTTTTGATACAAGTCTAAATTTATCGAAGAGTATACCAAAATCGTTTCATTTCACCTTCAGATATATTGATGACGTCTTGTGATTAATTAACAAGAAATGTATTGACTGTGTCAATCGTATATTTCCACCAGAAATGGAAATCAATAATACGACGAATTCCTCTTCATCTGCTGCTAATCACAATCTCTTCCTACCAATAAACCAATCGCTTTCCATCACGTTGTATGATAAACCTTCAATTTCCCTATTCCTATTGTGAATTTTCCATTCTGGATAGCAATATCCTGCATCTATAACCTATGTTATTAACATGGCACAGCTGATTCGGTATTCAAGGGCCAGTTCCCATTATCACGAATTTCGTAAAAGAAGTCGTCAACTGACTGACAAACACGTAACACAAGGATTCAAAAATGCAGGTTGATGAAAATTACGCGGAAGTTTTATGGTCGCCACAGTGATTTCGTTGAGAAATATTCTAATTCTATGTCCGACATGAAGCTGGACGTATTTAATGCTTGTTAGTTTACCTGTTGGTTCCGTTGTTGGATACCTTGTTCTCATTTGAAAACGTGACATTACTTACTTAGACTGACCAAGATCTACATGGCGGGTGTCGTCGATGAAACAGAAGACGCTTACTCTTCCGGAACAAATGGTCTGATTCCCTGTGTTCTTTTTTAGCAGGAATATCGATTTAATTGTTTCTTTTGTTCTTATTTTGCCATAGTTCTATGGAACTTGAATTTGTATTTCGATTATGTTGTCATGTTGGCATTTTCTTGATTTTTCAAAGATTATTTTGTGATATTGCAATGATAATCAATTTGCTTTTAATCACCCATGGTAAGATGTAATAAGCGATAGGTATCGTAGACATCAACGAACATGCTTGCCTAACCTAAAACGTTTACATGTTACAGTTAACAAGATTCAATTTCATAACTTCTGTGCGTGATGTCGACAGCTGACAATTTATATCATAGGGTTTCGGAAGATACAAGTTCATTGTATTGTTTCTTTTGCAATATAACATTGGACGTGTTGGAATTATTTTAAGGTACCTGAATGTGCAATTGTCCTCATTTGGATCGTGACATTGATTGCGTAAATTGACGGAGATATACATGATGGTTGTTATCGTGGACACGAATGACATTACCCTAGAACAACTAGTCTAATTCCCTTTGTACTTTAATGGGATATTAGTAAATATATTTCGTCTGACAATATTTTACCATACATTCAACGCACTAAAGTTTGAATTTGAATTTCTTTTTACATAACGGCATTTCCTTTGCTGTTGGTGATTTGAATGTTCAACAAAATATAACAAAAATGCACATTGTGTGTTATAGAATGCTATCGCATTTTATTAAATGACGTACATATACAAATATACTGATACACATTTCATGACAAGTTATTCAAACAATGACATAATATTCACTATGTATATACACACAATGTTAAAAATGATGTTTGTTATCCAACCAGACGTTCAGCAAGAACAACTTTATTGAAACCCGTTATTCTCTCTTTCTGTCTTCCATATAACACGAAAGAAATAATCATCTAATTAATTCAGCATTAATCATATTAATATGATAAGTCAACGAAAGCAAATTTCAGATTCAACTTATATACGCTATGGTTGAAAAACAGACTTCATACAAATGATATACATAAAGTCATACATAATATATGTATATATAGATATATACATTGTATATCAATAGACGGGACTGTTATAAAGGTATGTTGTTGTAGTTAAGGTAACTACCTAAGCTAATTATGAGTAATTACTTATTTCATGCGTTAAAAATCAGTTATTTTACCAAAATAATCTGTAGATTAAAATTATTGATGTTTCACAATTTTGCTTAGTCATCTTTTTCTTAAAAATCAGATAAGTCACATGTTATATCGTCTTACAATATTTTGAAAATCAAATTTATTTTTTTTATATTCCATTTTGAAATGGCAGCTTATCAACAGTTTACAAATATATGATTTTAGGAAAGAAATTATGTTGTAATTTCCTCAGCACTATTGGAACTGTTATTTACATATAACATCAAAAAAACGGGTACATAAAATGATCTATATGATAACACTACTAATAATAATATTCTTTTGTCAATGAACTCTAAAGGGTAATGAAACAGTGAACATAGACCGTGCTGAAAAATAGTATTCTTTTGACAATAGGTTGCCTAAACTTATCAACATATATCTGAAAGATGAACCAAAAGAATCTAACTTTCGTCTTCAAAACGTCAACATTTTGTAAATAATATAAAAGAATTATTTTTTTGGGAAATTATTATCATTATAAACAAATGTATATTATCCTGAACTCAACATTTATGTTGAAGATATCCAAATATCAGATTGGATATTTTTTACTTTTCGGTGAACGTTACGACTATAAATGCATTGATATACCCTTTTCATCGTACTATAATGTCTGAATAATACCAATTTTTTTTCAAATAAGGATATGAAAGGAAAAAAATAAACTTCCGTAAAGAAAAAGTTAAAAGATTATCGATTCCCACTAAAGGCTACATACAGATTTGTCAGTTTAGTTATTTGAACCATGTTGCTAGCATTGTTTGACATTTATTTTGTGTCATTTTTTTCTGAATAGCATACATTTAGTTGATACTTGGAATAAAGACGATACCCTAGACAAACACAACAAACAACAGATTATCAGTATCGGAACATCAGAATTGCGGAAAGTTAGTAATTTTTTTCATGAGTATTCACTTAAAACAGCTTTATATTAAGGAATTCATACTTCATTCATAAGGTTCTGACTTACTGAAGTGAAAATGGTCGGTCTAAATGATTCTACAATTCCGCAAAAGCAACACTAAAAGTAAAGCAAAATAGCATTTGATAAGAGGTAGAGTATCAAGTGGATCTGAGCTAGAATTTAGTTATATTTGAAATTAACGTTATTTTCTTTTTTAGCGAACACACAAGTTCACATACAATGACCGGAGATGACAAGAAATATTTCAAAATACTGCAATCTGTGTATTTAAATCAATCAGCTACATGCAATACACGTGTTTTCGTTAATTCATTTAAAATAGACTATAATATGTATACTGGAATGTTACTTGGGTGGGAATGTACTTTCTTGATATATGAGATAAAATACACAAAATAAAACTTTAAAACGAAAACGTTTTTGGCTGTTTCCAACTATATTTGTTAAAAAATTATTTGAGTAGTTCAATCTTACATAGAAGCCCAACAAAATTATACAGAAAAAAGTGCCTAATTTCATACGATAATTTGGTGACAATTTTTAATAAAATGCTTCTGAATTCCTGAAAGAATAGCAAAATGTTCGGTTTAACATATGAGTCATTCGAAAATGACATTTTTGCATTGCTTTGGTTTTCGCATGTTGCTAATATAATTGAAATCAGGAAAACTGAATTCCACTATGTCAGCCTTGAGTGAGAGCCCGCTCTGTAGTTTCCTCTGATACTCTGAAACAAAAAGCAAAGGCAAATTTACTATCGATACACCACTGTTGAATCATTAATGCTAGGTGCAAATGTGCGAATTCACACATACAATTTATGACATAAAAAATAGATGTTTAAGCCAGATAACTCTTTCAACTGTTGACAGGTATTTACGACATTATATCATGTTTTAAGGATGATATCTTCAATGTTATTTATTGGCTTAACCTAGAAATTATTGTTCATGATAGGTTGATAAGATACTTAATGATATATTTTCAGCATTTATGTTTTGTATCCTGCGCTTCGGTTTATTACAAATAATGTTGACAAAGTGTTATGATGGACAGGCAAACATCACATGTAAGCCATTTACATTTTGTGTTTTCATTAAACGAAGTACACCAAAGAAATTTAAGCTATCGAAAATGTCAACTTCGATGATAATGTTCTGTTGATTACTTCAGGAAACAAGACAAAAACCTCAGTCATATTTTGCCTAGTATCCACTATCAACATGATACATGTATTTTGATGTTCGTACATGCAACATGGTTTTAGATTATGTTACTGGGACTTTCTAAAGGTCTGAGAAACTGTTGGGGTTTTTTACCGGCTAAATAGAAAATAGGAAATATTGTACAAAAGACTCAGCTATTGAAGACTCTTTTCAAAATACATTCAGGAGATACAGTAAAACCAAACAATAAAACAAACTGAATTATAAAGATGCCTCTTTTTATTCTTCAAACCCAAGCCTTACGGTATGAAAACAAAATGTATATCAGTAGACGACGTTCATGATAGGCGGTTAGGTCATACCTTAGACTCTTGGTCCTAGTCGTAAGCGGTCAAATGGGATGCTGTTTCGATCATTTCCACAGACACGAGAAGCCAGTTGTAAGCGGATATTCTGTAGGGCGTTCAGATCGTCCACCCTGAATACATTGTCCGATTCGGTCGCCATCATACGTAACTCAGATTCGTCAATTGCTTCGCCGACCCCTGAAATGCACAATTTAGTCACATATAATTTCGGTAATATTTATAACAATATCGTGATATTCTTAAATCATACAATATGTAAATACGATATCACTGTGTATATCCAATATGGCAGATAATAAGACAATAAGATAATATTACATGACAGTACGGTAGCTATATTTGTCAGCTATATGCCAACCCACAATGGAAGAAGCGATTCATATACAAACGTTTTAATACTTTTTAACATATCGTGCGTAATGTGACCTCTTGTTTCGATCACATGAGGTCAATCACTCATAGATTACAACAGACTACCGAGCCGTATTGTTTGGAAAATAAATGATTTCGTTGAAAAAATTTGTAGTTTCATTTCCATTTACAGTCGGATCTCGCTATCTCGAACTCAGCGGAACCATAGGAAAATTTCGAGATAACCGAGTATTCGGTTTTGTGAGTTCAAATGTTTTGTATAAAGTCAGACAAGGACTGACGAAATGCTTAGAATTAGTCAGGATCTTTGAGTTACACGAGTTTGATATAACAAGATTCGACTGTATATGCTATTTATGAAATTTGTAGCATTGTTGATCCAACATTTTTTTGAGCCTTGAACATTCATAGACTTTTGCAATCGTCTATTCAATGGAAACTTATCTAAGATCCTTCACGTATGAAGCAAAATTGCAAACTCACCAATAGCGAAAACAGTTGCTGACATTCTATGAAGTCGTGCAGTCTGGTCGGCGAGAGAGTATGGGTCTGTCGATTTCCCGTCGGTAATGATAATGATGACTTTCATTACTCCTGGGCGAGCTCCGTTTTCCTGTGTTAGGACGTCTTCCACAAGAGTCCTGATAGCTCTATCAGTGTAAGTATTACCATAAGTGTATTTAACACCAAGCAGACCCTGTTCCACTCCAAACCTTGTGTTGTAACTGTTAAGAAAGAACTCGACTTTAGGATCATCGCTAAATGTCATGACACCAACTTGGGCAGATCCAGAATCGATGTCGATTTCATCCAGGAAGTCATTCACAAAAACAAGCTCTTTGTTGAAGTTGGTCTGGGTTTGAAGACTGGTGCTCTTGTCGAGCAGGAAGACGACGTCCAAATCTCTGTATTGACAATCTGAAACAGCGACGTCAATAATACATTCTTCAGGTTCAGAGGATGAAATTGACAAGTTTGTGTATCGTCCAGTCAAAGGTAGAACGCTGAATAAACTTGGAAGCGTTTTTGTTAATTATTGCAAACATATATTATTATCTAATAAGTTAAATTGTATAATAAATTGTTCAGCTATTTCTATTATGAAAAGACATGGGCCTTATTTTGCTGAAGAGAAAACACAGTGCTAAATTATCTTAGAAAGTACTATACTTATTTATGGAATGGTTGAACAATTTATTAGAATAATGACAACGTACAGTTAAGATCACAGATTACGACGAAGCACTTTAAAGATCATATCTTTTCCCAGCTGCTTTGTTATAATGAACTTTTTGCAAAGAGTTGTCCACCTTCCACCATCTCATGCATATAAAGATATCTTTTATTTTCGTCGCATGTATTAACTTACAGCTAATTTATTAGTTTATCAAATTAGTTAAGTTTGTACAAAAATCGTATTAGCACCTTATTTGATGCCCCCAACGTACCTTTGATTGGAGCTGGTGTAGGTCTTCGGGTTGGCCTTACCACGGCTGAAATTATACAAGCATAGTGCAGTTTTAAAAATTGCAACAACCTACCACGGGATAACAAAAACACATCTAGACAATTCTAGACAACAGTTGCAGTGAAGGGAACCACAGAACAAGTAAACTGTAACATCCATAGTTGACCAGATTATGTAACATAGGCGATTGTTCAAGTTTCTGAACAGATGAAGTGAAGATGTCAAATGTTATTTTAAAGAATATAGATATTGAAACTGGAAACATTGATTATAGATAAAAAGTCGATGCTATTCTTCTACTTTTCATATACCATATAATTTGTGATTTTTAAATTATATATCCTATATGAATGTAGTAAAACGACTGATGTTTAATATTTCAGTGTGTGTGGCATCAATAGATAATTCAAATTCCTTTAAACTTTCAAATTATAAAATATAGTTCCAGACGTCAATTTCCATGAGATTCACTCAGAACGTTTTTATGCAAGGAGAGCTCGATGCTGAACAAAAACGACTTAATAAGTTAATAAGTCCATACGTTAATAAGTGGTTTTGAGGGTATTGTCTTAAAGAATTTTCTTCAATTACAAGTCTTAAAATTATGCACAAATTCAAAAAAATTGTAGTATTATTCTATAATATCATATTATTCCCTTTTGCCATGAGATTTTTTTTTAAATGCAGACAATCGCTTTGACGGTAAAGCTAAAAGATGTTCAAGACAAACTTTTAAAAAAATCTGAGAGATAGCAATATCAACCATCTTACCTAAGTTTAACCTCGTTTGTAATTTATGCCGCATCATAAACAACAAATAATCCAGGAATGTGAAAAGCTTCATGAAGCAACACTTCAATTATGTTATCAGTAACTTTAGTGATATAATCACCAACAAATGAAATATTTTAAAACCTGTCCTTTGACTGAAGCAATAGGACAGTGAAGATGAAAGAAAATTTTACTTTTTCATTGCTTACCAATTAAGGTAAACATGATTTTCGTGTGATTTATTTACATTTAAATAAAAATAAACCTGATTTAATGGTTGTGTTATTTACTTCATATTTATGTGTACTAGCTCACACCGGGATGACATCACGAAATGTTGACGGGTTTTGATTTCACTAACAATATTTATTAGATAATGCCAGAAAAGAAAATACCACACTCAGTGGGATCCGTTTGCACTTGTCAGTCTTTAAGTATGACTTATTTTGCATTATCAAGTCATTTAAGATAAATTATTTCCATGCTTGTACGAAGCTATTTGTCATCTACATATGTTGTGAATGGTAGAACTAGATAAGGTAACTACTCTTGATATCCTAAAACCGAATTACAGAACTTTCCATAAAAATGAAACTCTGGAGAAATGACCTCAGTTAATAAACTCTACATCTTCTTTATGACATACGTCATCACAACGTGGTAAAAAAAGACAATATGAAACCCACTTTGGTGTACATGTGACAATAGTTTTAACATATACCGGTAAAAAGACAATACTTAACGCATTAAAGCATACATGTAATTATAGTATTCAAACAAACTGGTAAAAAGACAATATTTAAAACAACATGATCAAATGACAATATGTCACTTAACTAGAGACGGTGTTTCTGGCATAATCTGTGAAGTGCAGCCCTTGGTCTAAGCAACTTGTGAGATGAAACATACTTTGAAGAACTTTGGTCTAATACATAGATACATTTCAAATGACATTCTCGTAAACAAACAATGTTTACACACCCTAGTATAACAGGTCTAAACAAGTTTAGTTTAAAAAGTCTTCATTTCAGAAGCGTTTTATACTACAGTCGTTTGATAAAACATGCATGAAGGTCTTGTTGTATATTACATATACACTATGTAAGTAAGAGTATTATTGGTCTAAATACGTATCACATAAAACAAAAATATGTTTATTTATCGTTGTGAAAAACATTATTTCTTTGGAGACTTTCAGCACCTATAACCGCCAAATTCACATTTTTTCCAAGACAGAGCTAATGCACGCGTGGTTATTGGCGACACTTAAAACAAATACATTGAAAGAAAAAAAAACATTTAAAATAATAGTAAGATATCACGGTACCGCTCTTAATATGATGAAAATTATAAAAATGACAAAAAATTTAATAGAACTCAAAGCTGAAACTTAAAATAAATAAACCATTACGCATACAGCCGCTACTTAGACGACATTGACGCAACACACTGGATGGTCAAGGACCGCAAACAATTCGAATATTGAATGTCGTTTTGTGGCTTTGCGGATATAATAGCACCTCCGTATTTAACAAATAATGCCACTGTTCGATTGTGTGATCGGGTATAAAAAGGATTTTTTTGTCAATGTGTACTTATTTTTGCCAACATAAATGCAAAACATAATGTTCGTAATATAAATAATAAGTTATGCAAATGTAAACAACAGGCTGGATGTCTTCCGCCTGCCTTTTCACACTATCACCGGAAACCGTGCCTATTGCTAATTTCATCTGGAAGCTTGAACTTCATAACTCAATAGTCAATGAAGAATTTATTCATATCAAAAAGTGGTATAGATAGTGCACTCACGTTTGCAGAAACGCCCAGTAAAGAGTCCTGTGATTGATGAGAGAGCTTGGACATCCTTAACTTCGAACACGTGCTTGGACGCGGGCTTTGAGGCAATCATGGCTAACTCGTCTTTATTGAAGGCGTCTCCAACACCTGACATAGACATTTATACCAATTATAGAATAAGTCCTCAAAACTCTTTCAGATGACCATTACCGTCTGAGGAGTGTCAACTTGACTTTATTATCGCGCTGTAAATTGATACATGTGATAAAAGAGGTGATAATACATATATTAGTTGAAAAGGTAACGTCGCAGTTTATTAAGTTAGATTATCGTATTTGTTCTATGAATCCCAATAGATTTGTTGCTGAAGATCATTTTTTTCAAAGTAGAAACGTATATATACTGACCGATAGCAAACATGTTGATGTTTCTAGCTCTGTGAATCCTTTCGGCCATTGCCTCGGTCTTGTATGGATCGGTTGAGGCGCCGTCAGTGACAATAACACCTATCTTGGCCACACCACTTCTTGCTCCGTTAGCTGGTGCGAACGCTTTGTCAAGCATGTCTTGCAGGGCCAGGTTAGTATAGGTGTCGCCCTTACTCCATGGCAATTGCATTATCGCTCTTTTCAAACTGTCAGAATCCTGGTATCTAAAGATAGTGATAATTGTTTGACTCACCAAGCATTCAACAAGTAGTTAACAGGGCTTACTTATCATTCGAAATTTTGCATGATGCAAATAGTCAAGATGCATGTACCAAGTTTCAATTCAAGTCTTGCTTAAAAACATTAGATTACAAGCACTTAATTCGAAATAATAGAAATGCAAAATATTCACACATATGCTCTCTCGCTTTCCTAACACTTTATACATCACTGTCTCATTAACTGTGAATCCTGAAACACGATTACAATATTGAAGTAACTAAAACAAATTGCTTTATCATTACCATTTACAATAACGATATTTATGTCTGTTTGATTGCTTGGCTTGTGGGATGTATATATAACGACTCAAGTTATTGATATACCTCCTTCATCAGGAAATCATTTTGATTAAGACTTACCTATTGAGCGGAAACTCAAATGTAGACGTGGTACTGAAAGTGATCACAGAAATCTGACTATGGTCGCGACCTATAGCAAGGCTGTCAATAACACCGGTGACAAAGTTAAGTTCTTCCATGTAGTTGCTCATTGTCCTGAGAGATGTCGACTTGTCCAAGATGAACACAATATCGGTGGGACTGGCCTCGCATACTAAAAACCATTGTAAACAATATTGGTATAACTCAAATTCATCTTGTGGAAAATTTTGTGTTATAGAAGTATCAGAACAAATAAAAGTTCCTTTCAAAGATATGAAATATTGGATATGATATCATGTAAATGCATTACAGAATTAATGAGGTGATTTTTACACGTTTAATAGTCGTTCGCGATTTCACTATGAAAATTATTTTTTAGAAGAGAATATTACTTTTGTATTGTATACGACAGGAAACGGACAGAGGTTAAAAATTGTTTCAGTTTTCTATCTTAACATTTTTATATATAGTATATAACTACAAAACATATTTGCAATGGTGTGGTAACTGCACTCTGGAGCGAGTATTGAATTTCTACAAATACAGAATCAGGAAATCGGATATAAAAGAGACAAAAAGATATTCTCGTCTCATCAAAATCATGTTAACATGACTGGTTTGTGAAATTCTTTATATTTATTCAGATGCAATTTAAAAATGAAGAAATTCTTTACATTGTGTAAGGTTCGATAAATGATTCACATAAATTACATAAATTGCAGTAAATATAATGTGAATTAATACGCTACCGAAACAGAGCTACATCTATCATTTAACCAACATCACACATAACTAAACCAAACAACATATATATGTCAGAGTATTATGAGGTCAGAACTCGGGGTTATACTTAGATAGAGTCATAAGTCTCTGACACATGTTTAAGTATTTGTTTACACAGACGATTAATGGAAACTGGCAAATGATCTCCAAAATTTAATTATAGCCTGTGTGTGTGTTTTAAGTGTGATGCATTGTGATTACTTCTATACACTCCATATTTTGTGACATTTTTGACACGGCAGACTGCTGAGAAAGGTGTATATGTTGATACTGGATAAGCATCATATTTACCCATGCAACAACACCTGTAAATGCAACCATGCGACAACTTATAGACAATTTCGGATTGAAGACGTTTTTCAATTTACTTTCTACTTGAGAAGAGACTAGTGTGTTGCATAGATAATTTATGCTCCCCACCAACGTTCAGACGAACGTTCCAACGCGCAAACAGATGCACAAGCTAATGGACACAAAAATGGACACTGCGCTGAAAAAGGGAGATAAAAACAATAGCAACACTTGTCTTCTCTAATGATGAAAATCTTGTATCAGACATGACAGAGGTGAAAGGCATTTAAGAGGCAAAAATTGCATACTGGAGTAATGAAAGATAATACTTGAAGATATACAAACCTCTGACAGTCAGAATAATGTTTGACTAAAAAGCAAATATACCAAGAAAGCCCATATCAATACGACCAGCAGTACGTGTTTATTCTTAAAACGTTGTCTGGTGTCAAGCTAAGCCGAGTGTACTTTAGCAAATTCATTCCCTATTAACGTGACATCAATACTTTGGAGTAAAAGTATTGTTATCTTTTACATACAACTCGAACCCTATGTGAACTGCTGCTTTATGTTATTTATATTATAAATTCCATTGAAAGAATATTTAATAGTATATCGAATACGTTTGTTTATTAACATTATCATTTTCAATTTATTTTATTCGAATATTTTGATATTCTGATAGTAACAGTAGTATTGAGAGATTAAATTCAAGTCGTATTCTTAACAGAGATAGTGCCGCAGCATCATGATATATGTTAAAGGTTATAGTTGACATATTGCTTATGTTATAGATATCACATATTTTTTTTATAAAAGTACATACAACGTATTTCATTGTGTATTTTTTACTTATCCGAATACAAGAATACTAAGAATTTGGCAGGAAACTTTGAGTACATGATATGATCTAAATATCGAAAATATAGATAGCCAGAGTGTATGATCCAAAATGTGATTTAAAAAAACAAACCTGCAAGTGTCAGTAAAAAACATATTTACATGTGTTTTTCTTAATCGCAGAGTTTTAATGAGCTTTTTCATACAAATATCGTCTTTCATATATACATAGTTATTTGCTTCTAATGACGTACTTTCCTCAGTAAAGTGTACGTTATCAAATATTTGGAAAGAGTTAAATATGTTTTAGTTGATGACGCTAGATTATTAATCATCGATATTAATAGAACGTCAAGCCGAAAGCAAAGAGGTGGGTAGGAATCTTACTTATGACAGGTATACAAATGTATCCCCCGAAACTATATACACACAAGATATATCATAACATCATCAGTATGTGTATACCGTATGATAACACCATTAGGTAGCACAAATTACTGATAGCTGACAACACTAGACCGAGGACATTAAGACAGACCCTGTAACGATAAAATGTACTCACAAGAGTTTTATTTGAATTTCTTCTTGTTAAAGTTGAGATTATCAATTTTGTGTAACATTTTTAATCCTGTGTGAGAATTACTATCATTTAAACATTAACCTTAATTTTGATATTTTCGTAAAACCAATCCTCGGCGATAAGGATCGTGGTCTCTTTAAATGTTGATAAAGATTAAAGTGTTCTAATTTTCAGAATCTGAAAAAAAAAATCATAAATCAAGCCTTTAACAATCTATAATACTAATAAGAGAATTTTCCTTCTTCAAATTCGAACCAAACGCCAAGAGTGTAAAAGAATTTAAGATTATTACTTGTTAGGAAGTGGTTCGGTTCAACTCTACACACCTTTAATAACAAAATGCCATGCATGTTAAATTTATGGTTATTATTTTCATGTAACTTCGAGAATGAGGAGGGCAAAAAAGGGAGTCATATGGGAAATGTAAGAAAACAAATTTCGGTAATTTGTTTCCGTTATTGGTCATCAATAACATTAACATTTGATGACAGGAAATCTGCCAGAGAAATCCATTTAATGCTGATTTCAATGACATGTTTTCGCCTCAATAAAAACTCAATACACAGATATATAAATGTGTAAAATACTTACAACTGTTAATTCTTCTATTTATGCATAACTGTTCTCCTAGTGAATATTTCATTTTTCCTCGTTGTCCATAAATAAATATACCGAAGGGAGTTGAACGTCTTAGGATTCATAAACAGGCAAAGGTCATGCTGGCATAGTGTTGCCACCCTGTCATATTAACTATGCATGATCTCTTTAATTCGTTTTCACATATAACGGTGCTCAGACATTTAATCCTATTTTGAATAACGCCTCTTCAATGGTGCACCAAATTAATCACTGTTACGTTGTTAAATATTTTGAATGTCAGATCATAAATAGGACCACCCTGTTCTATACAATAAATCGGACGCCAAAAAAGATAGAATTTGCAAACCGTTTAATACGATTTCATTTCTTTAGTCCTTGAGCTAACATGCTTTACAGAAGAGTGAAATATGTTTTTTTAGGAAGGCGCTACCTACCTACACTACACTACACTACACTAGATGCTTTTGAAGGAAGAAAATATATATAGTCAAGATCTTTCATAATGTTGTCGACTTTCATTCAAATATCATTTACCGATACTTTTAAATAAACACAAAATGCACTCTCCTAACAAACGGCCGGTTAACGCATGGACATTTAGGATTCTTGAAAACACGCAACATTTTTCTCTCAACTACTTGTATGTGACATAAATGATACAAACTGGAAAATTTCCATTTGCCGGATTAGCCTGTCGCAAATCACATGAACACTTATGATTCCTAATGATACACCTTTTTATAAAGAGCTGGGCGTGGGGTGTTTTTTGCTTGAACGATGACACAAACATGTAAACTACCAATATTGCGGTTTCTGATAATAGAATACCATGTACTTTGCGGAGAATTGGTACATTTATCCACCAAAAGCACAGGCAAAATAACTAAATGGTCACCAAATCATCAAAATATTAGAAAAAGCTTGTTATGTTTTGACTTGACCAATGCATTTAAGTGCAGTTACAATTAATCATAAAATGTAAAGTTGTTTTGACTTGACTCTCAACACGTCAAAACATTAAAGAGCTTATGTAGTGTCGATGGATACATTAATACCATTTCCTAATTCAATATTTGTCTACATCTAAAGTGCATGTATGAGGAATTCGCTCGAGCCGCGCCCCCTCCCCCCAGGAAAAATAAATAAATGAATAGAAAAAAAACACATAACATACAAAATATATAACATAGTCAACAACACTACATTTCACCATCCAGGAATACATTTTATTTTGCAGTGTCATGGTTGTTGAAAAAATATATTAAAAACTAAAGCGAAAATACACTGCACTCCGCCTGTCAAATCTACCCCTGTTCTATTTTGCCTTTAGCTATATCTACATCGCTGCAGATATAGACTGTGATAAAGTAATAAATTAATCTTTAAGGCATTTGTGTGTCGACGTTTGCATAATATTTTTTCTTGAATTTCCATTAAAAAATGATAGAAGACATGAATAAATCTGCATATTTATCACAAATAGTTTCCCTTTTCTACTCAAATAAACCTTCAATAGATAAAATGAATACTTTAATTGACTTGTAGCATATGCTGTTCATAAACAAGGTTCAAAAATAAATATAGAGGGATTGATGCATTTATATAAATGAGATCTACACAATCCAAAAAGTAAACTAAAACATACGTAAATAAAAGAATACCTCTATGCAATCATGTCATTAACATTAGCCCCGTTTTATTTAGTAATTTTTTTTTATCTCTGATTGAGACGGCAAATGAAAGATTGTTATTCTTGATATGCAGGACCATTTGATAACCATTAGCAAATCAATCAGTGCAATGTGATTTTAACGAAAGTCCCAGGGGCGAAAAACACCGTAATAATTATCATTAGTATCACTATCATCATTGAAAACATCCATCGAGAGGACAACATAATGAGGTTGAATTCATCATCTCACTTCCGTTTTACTTATTGACTGTTTCATGTTGAAATATGTTATTCATTTCTTTAGCATTTAAACTGTCTTCTGATGTGTCAGTTTTTAATCACTTTCCGAGGCTTGGTGGCTGTTCGTAGATTAAGGGATGAATAAACATCTTTGCTGTCACAGGAG